CCCAGTACCTCACAGGAGTACACAACTGTACAACTGGTTACGATTTGGACAGGATCTACGATAAATTAATACATGATCTAATGGCAGTTGCTCGGATGTCGTACAAAATGAAGAGATTGAAAATATCTGACTCTCTATCCTGGTGGAACGGCAAATTTACAGAGCAGAGGAGTAGAGTTAGGGCTTTACGCAGAAGAGCGCAGGCGGAAATAGACCCTGCTGCCAGGCAAAGTAGAATGCAGCTTTACAGAATGGAACACGCCAGTTACAAAAAACTAATCATTAATAGCAAACTGGAAGCGTGGCAAAACCATTGCAGCAGAGTCATAGAGCATTATGGCAAGGTACAGAAAGTAGCCTGTGCGAAAGTATTTCGTCCACTACAGTTTGCAATTTGGCACCTTTAGCGAAGAAATTTTGGGCAACATGTTTGAAGCTGTCTTTCGCAATGACACACAGGAGACAGACTCAGTACGACAGGCGGACATCAAGGAACACTATGATAACTGTAATTGGACTACCACCGAAAGTGACTCGAAGCTGCCAACGCCAAAAGAATTGCAAAGAATAGAAACATAGTCATGGGGCCGGCAGCGCAGGTCAAATCTCGAAATAAAATTTTATAGTGAGGGATGTTTCATGATGTATCTATTAACATTAGGAATGCGTATTTATACACAAATCATATTTATACAAATTTTGACTAAAATAATAAGACGCGATGGATACATTTATGAACATACACGCATACACGAGAGAGAGAAATAATAATTAAGATTAGAAAAAAAAAAAAAAAGGATCATGGGATATAGGTTTTGACCGTTGTCGGCGCGTCCGTTGCTAGGGTTACTAGATGTGAGTTAAAAATATATTATTAAAAATGTTTGATTAATTTACGACAATTCCCCCCTTTAATCATGCATTTGGGAAAAGAGTAGAAATTCTTAATTACAGGAATTTTGGTTTCAGCAATGGCTTAGTGAAAACATCTGCAATTATGGAATTTGTGTTGCAGTATGTTATCTCGATTATTTTATTCTCTCCATTTCTCTTTAAAAGAAATATTTCTTTAAAAACAAGCATGTATCTGCAGTCTGCAGTATTCTGCGAAAAATTGCTGTTCCTTAAACTTCTTCGACCCTTTTATTACAAGCTCTAGAGGCATGCTTTAAGCCGTAAAGAGATTTTCTCGATTTGTAAACCTTAGCTTTTTCAATTTGTAAACTTTTTTTTTCTAACTTTTCTCTTTTTTGTCCTGATTGAAATGTGCCCTTCCGGCTGTTGCATGTGCATTTCTTGTTTTAAATTTGTGTAGGAACACTGTAGTGACGTTTACACGCCCCACGTGCATTTTACGTTATTCCGTGACAGCAAGAAAGGTACTGGTGGTTATATGTCGAACTACTGTTGCAAAGTTATGGCCAAAGTCAGTTCCAAAATTTTGACTATAACCTTTCGCGATTAGTCGCGCCTTGTAATGAATGACTGTTCCGTCTTCGTTTCTTTTCAGCTTGAAAATTCATCGACATCCAATAGGTTTCTTTCCCACAGAAAGCTCAACTCCTACAGAACAACTTCCCAAGTTTTATTTCGGGATAAGGAATTGATTTCTTCATCAGTTGCGAGTAACCATTTTTCCTTTTCTTCGGAATTCTACTAATACAAGTCTTTAAAATTCTCAAGTATGTTTTTATTTGTGTTTGTTAAGAATTCTGGGCGTTGTGGTGGTTTCTCCTTCTTTTTTCTTTAATCGTCTTGGCTCTTTTTCTAATATGATTTTAGGTTCCCCCCCCCTCAGTTTCTTCGTCGCTTTCATTGTCTTCAACCTTTAGATTGGGAGGGGGGAACTTAAATACTGTCATTCGCTGAAGATTTTTCGACAAATTTTATGCTTCTACTGATAATTTTTCTCTTTTCGCCTGTATAGTACCTCTTTGATCGTTACCGATAAAAGTTTCTTCAATTTGCTTTCTGTTCTAATTTTCTTCGGTTATCCTTATGCATATAATGTATAGGCTGTGCAACCAAATTGTTTCATATGAGATAGATTAGGTTTTCTTCTGCTTCACAATTCATAGAGGGTCTTATCACAAGCTCTCGTTGGAAGGCAACTCTGGATGTAATTTGCTGTGTTGAGAGATTTACCCCAGACTTTGTTTGAAAGTCGGCTTTGGGACAGGAATTTTGAGAAATGAAAAGTACAGGAAATTCTCATCGGTCGGAGGAAAACTATACAAGACCAGAAAGAGCATCAGCTCTCAGTTTTCCGTTCAGAGTAGACTTCGGAGTATTGACAAACGTGCGTGCGAGCTCCGCACTTTAGATGCCCTTTGCATTGTTGTGTGTTTAACGTTCTCAGTAGGTTGAAGTGGTAACTTCGGATTGTGCTCTGTTATTCTGTACGAGAACTTTTGTGGAAAGTTTCAGAACTATAAAGTGTTTCTTTTTGGAAATTAAATTTATTAAAGCTATCATCGGTTCTTTGAGCATTCAATTCATTACCAAACTGTACGCACGCAACAATATAAATGAGGAATCCATAGATGTCTTAACCGAATTTGTTGAAAATTCACGAATTTATCCAAAGAACTGTATCGATATCAGCTAAAAATGTTTTCAGTGTTGATTAAAACCGTCTTTTTTTCATCTTCTGTCTTGAAAATGCCTAGCCTCTAAAGGTATTCAGTATCATGAACAAAATCACTTCACTGTTTTACTCAGACCAAATACTGATGAAAGGGAATGCAAATCCTCTACTCATAAAAATGTCACAGAAAACAAGTTGTTTCAAAAGTGAGTAGGTTATAAGTGAATAAAAAAGGGAGGACGACTGCGGATAATTCTCCAGAAAGCCTCAAGAAGATTAAGGTTTTCTTGAAGCAAGCAGCGATTAAAAAGAAAAATTCAAGGCATTAAGAGCATAAAATAATTTTTATTTATTTATTTTTATTTATTACATTTTATTTATTTATTTTGAAGAAAATTTAGTCTCTTTATGTTATGCTATTTGATTTTTGCCAATTAAAATATTTGAACTTACAAGGAAATACAGATAGTATTTTAGCAAACTAAATGTAAGATAATATGCAAATGTGTAAAGCAATGGCATGGTAATAAAACCTGTGGAATGCTATTTGTATGCATATCATTCTAAATTCAAACGTAGATTACCGTATTTGACGGCATATAAGACACACCCTTATTTAGAAGGCCACACACAAGGAAAAAAAGTTCCAATAGTCCGCGCGACAGCGCGTTACCACAATAACTTAAAATGTGGTTTCGTTTAGTTCTCACGTTTCATAAAAGCCAAATAAACAATCATTCCATGCAATTACCAATCATATTTTTATTAAGGAAAATTAACAAACGGCAAGCTATTTTGAACATGATATGTAAATTTCAATAATGAATAAATGAATGAACGGCAAGCAATCAAACATAATGCAAAATAAAGCAGAAACAACAAAAAACACAGATTCAAGGATTTCATTGCCTATCATGAAATTAGACTTTAATCACTTTCAAAAGCATAAAAATCCTTTTCACTATCATCATCATCGAAAACGAGAATATCGTCATCACTACTGTTTCCGTCATTACTAGTATCACCTTCTTCGAATAATGCGTCGTCTTCTGTTCTGCCAAGAGCATTACTGATTCTGCACTTCTTAAAGGACTTAACAATTACTTCAGCCTTTACATCCTCCCAAGATCTTTTTACTCACTCGCACGCTTGTGAAATAGAGGGCCGCTTCATTCTACCTGAGGGTGTGAGGGCGCGATGTGGCTCTCCTATCCACTTGTTCCATCGTTCTCGGACTTTTTCCTTAAATGGTTTATTCACTGATACATCTAAAGGCTGCAATTGGCTAGTCAGTCCACCAGGAATGACAGCTATCTGGGTTTTTAATTCTCTCGCTTTATTCTTTATGGTTTCAGTTCTATGGGCGCTAAACTGATCCAAAACCAAAAGAGAGGGTTTTCTTAAGAGTCCTTCAGGTCGCCTTGCCCATATGTTCTGTAATCACAGTTTCATTCCAGCTTCGTCCATCCAGCCTTTCGGATGAACATGAACAATTACACTCGTTGGAAGTTTTTCTTTTGAATATGAAAAACGGCGGTAGTTTTGTGCCATCAGCACAACATGTTAGAACTACCGTATATCGGGTTTTTTCATGACCTGTGGTTTTTATGGTTATTGATTTAGACCCTTTAATACTCACAGTCTTGTTGGATGGTACATCAAATGTGAGTGGAATTTCATCTATATTTCCTATTTGACCGAGCTCAAAAGAAGTTTTCTTGCGTGCATTTATAACAAACCTATGAAATGCTAGTATTTTTTCTTCATAATCTGCTGGCATTTTCTGTGCAATAGTTGTTTTTTTGTGCACATTGATAATCCTTGCCTTTTCATAAAACTGTAGCACCAGCTCTCAGACTCTGAAAAGTTCTGATTCCCATGTTTTTCTGCAAATCCTTTGCCCTCATTGATTATCATTTTAGTTGAAACACTTATCCCAGATTTCCTCTTATCTATCACCCACATTTTCACGGCATTTTAAAGTTCAGGCCAAGATGGAGCTGGGCATCGAAGGTTATGTTTTTGTTTTTTAGCAGTCTTCAGTTGATCTTCCTGCAATCGCCAAGTACGTATCATTTTTTCGGTAGGTGGTGGATCGAAATGCCTTGCTGCTGCTCTGTTTCTATGCACTTTGGTGCAGTTTAACACTCCTAGTTTATACTGAATTGTATAGCTTAATCTCTTGTTTCCTGGGTATTCTTTTAAACAAATAGTTTTAAGCACCGATACCGACACGGTTATACAGAGTAGTCTACGTAAAGAAGGAAAGGCTCCATAGACGTAATGTGACTGTCGAACCTGTTCGAACTTCGACATCAGCTTCGAGCTTTGGCGCTTTTTGGCGACAGATATTTCATGCATGCGCAAAATAATTATGGCAGATGTAGAAAAAGTTATGTGTGTTTATATCTTTATCCGTGCTAAAAATAGCATTCAGTATTGAAAGTTAACCTGTGTCTTTCACGTATAAGACGCAGGTAACTTTTTTGAGACTAAATTTAGGAAAAAAAGTGCATCTTATATGCTGTCAAATATGGTATACATCTTTCTCATGTGTAGATATTTTCTTAATCACCAATTGAAAGACATATTAATCATACTTTACAGTATTTCTAATTTAATACAGAATGCAGTTTTTAGAGACATCATGACGAATATTGGGTCACAAAATATATTTTCAAAAGAAATGCTACTCGAGTAAATAAAAAGAGTTAAAAAATTATATGAATAAACATGCTTAAAGTACACAATGTGAATATATAAATAATTTTTTTTTTTTTAAATAACTATTTCAAGATCAATCCCTCAACTTCAAATAATTAAAATAAAATTCTGTAAAAAAATCTAAAAATAACAATTGTAATGAAATAAATACAAAAAAAAAAAAAAAAAAAAAAAAAAAAACATATAATACAAAATAAAAATATTTCCAAGAAAGAAGAAACGCTGCATTTTTCAGTGCGTTCAGAATTAAAAGGAAAGCGAAACGGTTAACACAAACCCAGAAGTTCACAAAGTGAATTACTCTTGGCGGAAAGTGAAAAAAGTGTGCCAAACTATATTTCATAATTACTTGGAAAGTTCCACGCCAAACTTTACAAGTTTGATTTTTTAGCATAATTTTAGTCATACAGTTGAAATATTCAAAGAAGTTGTCATGTCATTTCAGAAAAAGTCCGATCTTACGTGTTAGAACAACACTATACATAAATCTAATACATATCCTAAGTCGCGTTTTCGAGACATGAAAAACCGAAGTTGAATTTCATGAGTAGAACTGGAGATATAGAACGGTCTCTGGTTTCGGCAGAGTAGAACTGGAGATATAGAACTGGCCCCCCTTTTTTTTTCAAGTCTGCATTTCTTTGGTAAAAGAATGTTCATTAGCTCTATAAGGAATATTTCCAAGATGCCTCATTTCACGTTGATAATAGTTTTTTTTTTTTTTAAATTTTTAATTTATTTTTTCTCTTTTTTTTTATCACAGATCTGGTAAGGAACCTTATCACCTTTGTGATTTCTTTTTTATTTACAGATAGCTAAAAGATGAAGTCTTTGAACATAGGCTACATGAAATTAAAGCACTGAAACTATGGAACTTGACATGCACTGCAGATCTTTTAGATTAGCCTTTATTTAAAGTGAACTCAAAGGTGAAGCATCTGCAGGATATTTGACGAAAAAAAGGTAACTACTGTTGTGTATGACAGTAAATAAATTTGGAATTGGATTTATGTCGCCCTTTTTTTAATAATGTTTTAAACCGTGATGACTTCTCTATTGAACCAGTTAAATATGAAATTCTCAGTGTTTATCATATAATGAAAAATATAGTACAAAATTTTTAATAAACTATTTTATAATAAATATTTATTATACAAATTCAAGAAGTTAAATTTTCTTCTTTTATATGGAATACTGCAATAGAGTACTTTGCTAAATTAAAATTTTATACTTCATATAAAATGCATTTGAAGTAACTCTAATGATAAAATTATTTAGAACACAAATGCATCAAAAAATGCATGTGAAATAACACTGTTGGTTAAATTGTTTAGAATAGAATAGATATATCTCTACAGATAATAATGTTCACTCTGCAATCCAGCTTTCATTTTTAATGCAATATTTTTTCCTAATATTCTGTATTCTCATGTTGAATTACAACAAAATTAGCTTTCAATGACCATTTTGATAAGGTATATTAAAAATATGTTTTATCACAGTATCTGGATGAGCTTTTATCATACATTAACAAATGATTTGGTTAAGAATATGGATATACGCACATATATAAATAGACAATAATTAATGAAAATATAAATATATAAACAAAATAGTTTTTTTAATACAGTGCATAATTTAAATAGGTTGATAGGAACTCAAAAAGAGATGAAAACTAATACTAAGACAGAAGAACTACATTTCCATTATCAGTCCCAAGTAGTAACAATCTGTTTAGAGGAAGAAGTGCCATGGCCGTAAGGACGCCTTTAAAAGTATCAGAACGTAACCTTGTACTAGTGTAAGTGGCCTAGAGCAAGAAAAACATCTTGACTTGAAGTATTACAACAGTAAATCACAACACATAATAAAACTGACAAAACAAAAAGTACTTATTTAATATAATTTTAATAAATTAAACTGAATAAACAAACAATAGAAAATTTCATTATCTGTAACTATAGAATTTTGTAACATACGGATAAATACAAAATCTATATATTAATGTGTTAGTTTTTATAAAAATTCTCCATATTATCTCTCTCTCTCTCGCTCTCTCTATATATATTCATTTTCCTAATTTCATTCATTAACTTTTTGTAAGAGATAATTCAAAACCTGATCTAATAAATTCTTATGTATATAGTATATATTCTTACACACATATATATATATATATATATATATAAACTTAACTTAATTTATCTTGTGCCATTGCTGCAAGGAATGAAATTTAAATTTAACAAACATTCTTTATTATTATATTTCATTATAAACATTCTTAAATACTATATTATAAACATTCTTTGTTATATAATTTTATATATTATATTATGTAAATATATACGTAGTAAGTCTTCTAGAACTTCCAATTTTATTTCCTGAAATACTTACTATACTAAAGTTACAAAAATTTAAAACATTATCTCTATCACTCTCTTTTTAATAACTTTAAATGGGAAGTTTTTATTCGACTCACTTAAATAAATAAATAATTCAACTCACTCAAATAAATATATGTTACGTATGACATATATTTATTTGCTAAAGAATACAAGTTTTTTAAACATCTTTCAGAAGATGATTTCAATAATTTGCTCATATGTTCAGGTATATAGATGATATAATTACATTCAACAATAATAATCTTATTGAAAAAGCAACACCTACACCAGCTATTTAAAATTAAACAAAACAAATAAGAATAAATTAATTACAGATTACCTAGAACAAAGCATTTGCAATAAAAGTAGTAAAACGTTTTGGTAAGAGAAGAAAATTCAACTTTTCTACAGTTAAACATATAAACTGGAGTAACATCTCTAAAAAAAAGTTATTGCAAATACAATTTTTAATCAAATTCCCCAAATTAAAAAAGTTTGCCTTGAGGCTGAACAACAACAGCAAGCGTTTCTTATTCTTACTAAAATTTTACTAGAAACAATCAACTTAAAAAAGCTAGAGTGGTCTATACACTATAAATAATTTTTAAGGTGATGAATTTTTATCTGATTATCTGAAAGTTCAAATAAGAGAAGGATGAATTAAAAATGTTTATAATGTAATTTGTAAATATGTATTTACTGTACAATTTTTCTTGAGTATACTTTTAATAACTGAGGCTAACTTAATAATACCTACTCTTTGAACTTTCTGTCTTGCATTAGGTTAATGCTTTCCAATTTTATTTAAAAAAAATCTTACTATAAATTCACCTGAAGGGAGATTTATAAATTCCATTGCCATTTTTATGGCCAATTGCACCAAATAGGCAACTCTAGGTGTCTCCTTCCCCATTTTGAATCAGTTTACCTTCTTCTGCAAAACAGATAAGTTCACACATTTTTGTTCTCAGTTCATTATTTAAATATTACTTGAATTCTCTAGTTTTAGCAAATTATTTTGTTTTAATTTTAATATTAGTAATTGTATATATTACTTTTTGCTTTATTACACTAACTGAATTTATTTCATTAGAATTTATTTTATTTATTATTGACAGGAAGGAGACTTGTAGAGGAGGCATTAGATATTTTTGGATGAACTACAATGATTACATAATTTAAAGTAATTCATCAACTAATTCTGAGTGAACAGAAACACAATGGTTTTTCTAGGAGGTTGACCCAAATGGAATCTGATCAATCTCCTTTTTATAAAGTTGAATCAGGTTTCGATTATGTTCCTCTTTATTTTCTTTCTTATGTATTTCTATTTTTATCGGGGTTTCTTCTGGTTTCAATACACTGAGTTTACTGAGTCTTTTTACATTTGTTGTTGGGAAATTTGGGATTTTACAGGTTTTATATTTCATTTCTTTTATATCTTAGCTGTTTGGGTTGTAAATTTATTACGTTCTTATCTATAATTAATTAATATTTCAGCAGCATTCTGAGCGGAAATGATTTGGGATATTTTTATTGTAAGAAATTATACAATTTATCCATACATACACATATGTATTATTACAATTATAACAATATTATATAGGAATTTTTTTTAAAAAAATGAACATAAAATTAATTCTGCTGAAAAATTAATTAATTAAAGACAAAGCACCATTCAGCCCCACATATACCCGAGTGGACCGGTGGATATGACTGCTGAATACTGGAAGTCTAGTCTGGGCGAATGAGCAGGTTGCATAGCTCGGTTTCAAGGTTTTCCTTCAGTGTAAATTGAATACGAGCCAGTTTTCCTTAAAAAGTTCTCCATAAAGGCCTAGAATCCTGGTTTGTTTCACCGTATTCTAATAACCTAATCAAAACCCATGCCACCCATGCCTGCTACTCTGACGTTAAGTGGTTAGCATATCGCATTGGGAGATCTGTGGTTCTAATCCTCGCTAGCGGCATGGTTGATGTTTTGCGCTTTCTGAATTAGAATATTCTAAATTTTCAGCTGTGACAATAACTTGTTAGAAATTTATTCAGGTGTCCAAGCACATATTAAAAAAATTAATTATCATGCAAAATATGTACGCGTGCAGCTTATTCTATTGGACATTACAGCGTCGAATTGTAACGCACTTTTCCAGTTTGTTACAAGAACTGTGCAAATATTTTACATCCACTTATTGCAGATGGCAAAAGTAAATACTACCAGCTATTAGTGACAATTTAACTTTAAAAATCTTATTGATAACTCTCTAGTCTTCAAGAGATGATGCTTGTTGACCTTAATATAATACAATCGTGGTAAGAAATAATTAACAATTTATGACATCAAAAATGGCGGTATTGCAAGCAGCATAACCAGGAATGAAGTTAAAAAAAAAAAAAAAAAAAAAAAAAAGGAGAACATTTAGAAATATAAAGAACAACAGTTTATTGAAATCTGTTTTTAAGAGAATTAATGTGACAAGTAAAACAATAACTAGCATGTATATCTACGGGAAAAAAAAAAAAAAAAAAAAAACAACTATTCAGACACCGATTTTAGTAAAAATTTTATTGATGACACTGAGGAAAATTTCATAGATTATGAAACATTTAAATTGAGATGAAAACGTGAATATATTTGTGAGCAATTTACAACTGATTGCGAAAAAACAGTTTTTACCAGTATATACCCAAACGGTGGCATAGAATTAAGAATATTCAAAACTATCACTGTTATAAAACTTTTGAGGAATAAAATTTCAAACTCAAAAAAGGTCTGAGGGAGGATTAAAGGATTAAACAATTTTAAGGATAGAATATGATGTACTGAGCTCCCTTTGATGTTGATTTGATGATGTTTCCTTTGATGACGCATTTAAAAGATTTGCCGAAGCAAATGTACAATAGAGAATTATAAACAAACAAATATTTTTATAATTAATGATTTGCACAACATTTATCCAAAACCTGCGTAGAAACTGAATTGTGATTTTCTCATATTTTATTATATTTTTAAAACTACATTTCGCACTTTTAAAATTTCACATTACATTATTATATTCTGATTTATTACTATTCTAAATAAAACTCGTAAATAGATATAAATAAATAAGGAAAGTGGAACAAAGACTGTAGCTTAGCAGCGGCAGAATAAGGGGAAAGCAAAATTATAAATCTGCCATTATGGAAAATATATATTTTGAATGTATGTGATTTGAAACGTGTTAAATAAAGTAATGTTTAACAAATCTCACATTCAATATACTCTAGAGCTTCTATAAATATAAATTATGCCTTTTAATGCTGTTATTGGTCCATAATTCAGATAAAACATTACATACCTTACAAGCTCAAAAGCATATGCATACAAGAGTATTTCATTTTCAAGAAAGTTTTTTAAATGGATGCTATGAATATGAGTGGTTCTTCGCCAAAAAATAAATAAATAAGTAATAAGAGCAAAGTGCTTTTCAAAAGAAAAGCTTCATACATTTTCAGTCAAAGTTTAGATACTGGCTAATTTTTTTTTTTGTTTTTTTTGTTTTCTTCCATTTTATAAATAAATAACACATAATAAAAATAAATTTTCATTTCAACTAATTTAATTACCTTTTTATCAATCGAAGAATGCAATCCAATCCTATTACCAGTAGTTCCCGATATAACTTCATTTCCATAAAAACAAAGGCTAGTCACCGGTTCCATAGGACCTGAAAGCATCAATGTATTATATATGTATCCCATAATTTTGTTAATGCTATTCATTTAATCAGTAATCATATGTCGCCAGTTTCACTTAGAAAATCCTCAATGGAGATATGTTTCTTCATGCAGACTAGCTCAACATTTTTGCCAGAATAAGTTAACATAAGTAGCATTCATTAGCTAAATAAATCATTCAATTGTAGGGGATCTGTGCAATTGATACTGAGTAGCAAAATAGTAAATCTGAAATACAGAGCATTCAATATGTGTGTGTGTGTGTGTGTGATTATGGCAAAGCCTCGAGGGCTATCCAGAGCATTCAATAAGGTTATTTTATTTATGTAAATAGAAAATTCTTTGTGTTTCAGCTGTCACATTTGGTTGGTTACTTAAGAGAAACCACATAAAGCATATGTGTCTTATGGAAGTGATGCCCGGCTGACTTTCTAAAGGAACCACGACTAATACTTACGTTACACATGAAGAAAATGCTAAATTTTCAGGCAGCAGTTAGGGACGGATTACCAAAGTTCTACATATTTAACGCTTGAACCACTGTAGCGGCCAAATTAACCCATGAGAAACTTCACATCATTATAGTACATAGGCCCTGAATGTATGGCTTATATACTCCTAAAATAACCAAATATATGCCTGGCTCCCATGACCTTTCCTAAAATTACTTAGATATATGTATGCAAAGTCTGAATGTCATTTATGTCCCAGTTTTAAGTGTTAGATTTAGAGCCGTGAAAGCTGTCACTTCGACTGCTCTGTTAGTACATAATTGAAAGCATACAGCGGGAACATTTTTTTTTAACCTGAAATAATGTTTATAATAAGCGACGAAAATATATAATCTATAATAAGAGAATAAGAAATATAAGATTAATAATAACAGAATAACAAATAAGTAATTTATAATAAGAGACAAATCTATAATAAGAGAATTTATAAAGCTGAAGTATTTTCAAAATAACAACTGACGTAATTAATTTTTTTCTGTAAGAGTTGAAGGCTATCAGAAAGTGATCTTCTAGTACAAGGCAGATGATGTTTGTATATACTATGCTTGATGTTTGTGAATTACAACAGGAACTACAAACATAATGGGTAGTTTATGAGTTATTTTGTGTCAGTTAATCAGTTTAATAAGTATGGCTATTAGTTCATGTAAATAGTCTTTTGATAACACTTATATTTAGGATACTTCGATTCGTAGAATCTGTAACTCCCCACATTTTACAAATTTTGCCGATCCTAAATTCTGGCGCCCGGTGCGGCTGCACATGTTGCACATGCTTTGATGCGGCCCTGGTCTGAGTAAATGTTATACGAAAATAAATACCTAATTTGCTATACTCTGCCTGACAGAGAAAAGGCCATGAAAGCATGATTGGAAACACACCAAACTTTGTACGTATACAGATAATGAAGCACTCAACATCTGGCTTAATGTTTAGAGATGTACAATGATAAGCTACTTAGATATACAACGTATAAAAATGATTTCGCGTAATACATTGAACATTTTGTTGCACTGAGCCAATGATTGTTCGAATCATGTATTCGGCATCGTGCATCACGTTATTAATGTGACTAAAATTCATCTTTGCGGACGAGGAGAGACATCCACCTAAAGCCCAATCATATCCCCCAAATGCTTCACTGGTGAGAGATCCTATTGACCAAGGAAACATTTACTCGTTCTGCAATGCATTCAGGCTGAGCCAATCAGTGTGCGGCTACGCGTTATATCACAGAAAGATGGTGACTGAAATGCATTGTAAACAACGGAGGAAGAATGAGCTGTAGCATGTCGTTAAAACAGTTGTGATCCGTTAATACCTGAAACGCGCATTACAGATGAACTGCTGTTAGCCCTAATGCATGTTGATGGTGTTAAAAATATGTGTATATGTGCCAGTCCCAATATTTACTTTATGAAAATTGGCAACAGTAGTTTTTGTTGTCATTCAGTCCCTATCTGGTGTGCATTGCTGTGTTTGCTTGTTCCCATGTAACCTAATATTCCCAATATATTTTTTATTGTTCAACCTGGACTATGTCGTTTCTTTAACCCACGAATAACTCAAACTTTATCACGTTATCAGCACGAAAAGCTCAAAAGGAAATGCCATTATGATCAAGGATTGAAGATCGCACCGAAGCCTAACCTCGCGGATCGCCGAAGCCTAACCACGTTGTGAATCTGAAGTGAGCGGATAAACATCCTTTGACGAAGTAAACAAAAATATTTGTTGTGAATTTAGCGCGATACATTTACTTGAAGAATGACATCTGAAGATTATAAAATGCCGAAACTAAACGGCAATAATTATCACACATGGTGTATCTGCTCGCGTGCCGTGCTGGTGCAGAAGAGATGTTGGGAAGCAGTGGAACCCGGATATAGAATAGAAATGAATGAAGCGGAGAGCAAAAAGAGCGATGAAGCTCTTACTCTATTATTCCTCATAGTTGAAGATACATTTCTAGATGATATCGGAGATTATATTAGAGCCAGAGACGCCTGGAACTGTTTAAAAGAAATGCATACAAAATTCGGTCTGCTTCATGTACTGCAACTTATAAGAGAATTCTTTAACATAAATATGAAGCCAAATGAGTCCGTCCAATCCTATTTAGCAAGATTAATGGACTTACACAGAAAATTAGCTAATGGTGGATATGCATTCACAGATAGAGAAGTGGCCCTAGTGGTGCTATTGGGACTGCCTAGAAGTTATGAATCACTCATCCTAAGTTTGGAAAAAGATGAAGCAAATCTGACAACTACGATCGTGAAACCAAGGCTACTTGCAGAAGAGAAACATATAATTAGAAATGAGAGTTCAGCCAAAGTGTATCATGAAGAACAAGCTCTTCATACTAAAGGTTTTGCCACCAACCAGAAGAAGCCTGCATTTGGAAAACCCATGAAGAAGTATGCAGTTAAAAGGCCAAATGAAGAAGAAACTAACAGAGGAAGAAGTACTAAATGCTTCAGCTGTGGCCAGTGGGGGCACATATCTAAAAATTGTGAAGAGGGCAAATATCAGAACCAAAACAGCACCAAAACTGCAGTTGACCTCAAGGCAAACATTGCACTTCTGGCAAACGAAGAAAAATCCAGAAAAAGTAATCTGTGGATTTTAGACAGTGGAGCTACAGAACACATGACCTCTGATAAAAGAAAATTCTCAGACCTTAAGAAGTACACATCTGAAGTTGAAGTTGCTAATTCAGAAAGACTAAAGGTCACTGGAATTGGAAATATTTCATTTTCTGTTGGAGAAGAAGATGGAGAAAAAAACATTACTATTGAAAATGTCCTATATGTTCCAGAACTAGGAGGAAATCTATTATCCATTGGTAGAATTGAAGAAAGAGGCTTAAAAGTAGAATTTGCTGAAGGAAAAGCCAAAGTGATTGGTAAGAATGGAGATACTCTTTTATCTGGTGAGAAAAAAGGAAGACTATACATAATCGAAGAAAAGATTGCAACTGCCTACGCTACGAAAACTGAAAGTGCCGACTTGCTGCATCGTAGACTTGGTCATCCACATTTTTGTACAACAAAAAAATATTGTCCCCATCGGCAGAAACCTGAAATCAACAGTATTAGTGAATGGACCTTTCCAAGTCTGTATTCAGGGAAAAATGAAAAGGAAGAAATTTCAAAAAGCCGCTAGTACAAAAGCTAAAGACATCCTAGAAGTTATACATTCAGATGTTGTTGGTAAAATTTCTCCCCCTTCCTTTGAAGGCTCAAATTACTTTGTGACTTTCACGGATGAATTTTCTCACTATACCACAGCATTCCCTGTTCCCTATGAAAGCCAAAAGTGAAGTACTAGAAAAATTTGAGGAGTACCGTTGCATGGTAGAAAATCTCCAAAACAGAAAAATAAAATTCTTGAGAAGTGACAATGGTGGGGAATACATAAGTGGAAAATTCGACAAGTACCTCACTGCGCATGGGATCCAAAGACAACTAACTGTACCCGACACACCTCAACAAAATGGTTTGCCAGAAAGACTGAACCAAACATTGATAAACACGACAAGATGTTTACTTATCGAGTCCGGAGCAGATCACAGGTTTTGGGCTGAAGCAATGGCCACTGCAGCCTATCTCCACAACAAGCGCCGATCTATGGCAATTGATGGTGATATTCCAGAAGAAAGATGGTCAGGATCTGGAAGCAAAACAGACCACCTCAGAGTTTTCAGATGCAGAGCCTGGAGTCATGTTCGCTCACACTCAAAAGGAAGCAAACTTGATCCCAAAGCTGCAGAATATGTTTTTGTGGGATATTAAACATTAAGGAGCCTGGAGTAATGTTCGCTCACATTCAAGAGGAAGCAAACTTGATCCCAAAGCTGCAGAATATGTTTTTGTGGGATATTAAACATTATATAAACTAAAGGCATTAAAGGCTACAAATTGTATGACATGAAGAAGAAACAGTTTTTTTGTCAGCAGAGATGTCATTTTTGAAGAAAATGTTTTCTACTTAAAACTAAGCAAGTGTGACAATCCTGCAGAAGAAGCTACTCTTAAAATTGAAGACTTTGAATCAGAATATCACTTGAACCTACCTGAAACAGAAGCTTGTGACTCACCTCTAGATCACATAACTCCTGAAGTAAATGACTTGGATGAAACCAAACGTCTAAATACAGATCCTATTGAACAAAATTTCGAAAGATGCCCAGACATACAGCTTGGAAATACTCCAGATTACGAAGATGAAGGCCAATCAGTTACAGAGATACAAGATGTTGGTAACAACCTAGACCCTGAAGTTGAGGCAGCAGCCAGAAACCCTACCTATAGGAGTGAGAGAGGTGAAAAAAGAAAAACCAAAATTCCTAAACATTTTGAAGATTTTTATCTGTACGATGCCCAAGAGATACAACAATCTGAAGAAAAGGATCCAGTAACTCTAAAAGATGTCCTGAAATCACCCGAAGCTGACATGTGGTTAAAAGCCATGGA